ATTGGGACTTCGGTGGGAGTGAAGCAGGCGAAGGACGGGACTTCGGACTCTTCAAACCAACAGGCAGAAACAATATTCGGTACGACCACGATTCGCACGTGGAAACAGTGGGGCACAGCTCTGCGAGCTCGTTTTGAGCATTCATCCGCCTCAGACGACGCTCGCATGAAGCTGCGCAACTGGCGGCAGGTGACTACTGTTCAAGATTACACTGCGTCGTTCTCGGCACTTGCGGACCAAGTCGACGATCTCAGCGAAGCGAAAAGGCGGGACAAATACGTTAGCGGGCTGCATTTCGATATTCAATTCGAGTTGCAGCGGTCCCGTCCCAAGACGTTCGATGAAGCTGTCCAGTTGGCGTCAGCAGCCGATGCACTGCAGCAGTGGGCGAGAAAGAACAACAGGGATGTTGGTCGTTTTCGTGGACAGTCTCTCCGCCCCACGATCAATGGCGTGTCAGCGCCCGATGAAATATTTCACGGGCTATGTTTTCGATGTGACAAGCCAGGTCACCGAGCTAAGTACTGCCCGACGGCGCCCAAGAAGACGAAGAACGACAAGGAGAAACCGGGAAATGGGAAAAGTCAGTAGCAGACGGGCCCCCTACTGACGAGGCTTTGTCACCCGAACTTCAACGTTCCCACCAAGTTGTGGTACCGATACACGCTATCGACCGCACTCGGACAAATAACGGGAGCGAACCTGAAGATCACCCTGTGCTGGTAGAAGGCAAGGTTAACGGCAAAAAAATAAAATTATTTGTGGATGGCGGAGCGAGTTACAGTCTCATTAACGTAACAACAGCGAAGCAGTTGAAGCTGACGTTGGAAAAATGAATTCCCGAAATCTACGCGCGACTGGTGGACGGAACTCCACTTGCAATTCGAGAACGAGCGCGCATGGTGCGGATGAAGTGTGGCGACGACTTCGGATTCAGCATGCCCATGCTGGCCACGACGCTGGACGGCTGCGACATTCTGCTTGGGCGTGATTGGCTGCGAAAATACAATCCGAGGATCGACTGGACAACTGGCGAATGCAGCGTACACTGTGCGAACGGGTGGCGCGTACTTCCAAGCTGGCGTGGGAGAGATCCGGTGTCGACACGTGTCAACGCCATCACCCTCCAGCAAGCAGTTCAAAAAGGAGCTGATTTGTACGCCGTCCACCTGGCCGAAGTGACGATCGACGACACGCCAAATGACATTGACACACTTTGTGCCAGTGTCCTTGCCGAGCTCGCCGCGCTGATTCGACAGTACCCGGATATTTTCCCGGACGATCTGCCAGCAGGACTGCCACCCGAGCGCCCCCAGGACCACAGAATTGATCTGGAACCCGGCGCGCAGCCTACAGTCAGGACCCAGTGGCGGCTGACTCAGCCGGAGCTCACGGAGTTGCGAAGCCAACTGGACTACCTTTTGGAGAAGGGGTTCATTCGGCCCAGCACCTCCCCGTTCGTAGCACCCATCCTGTTCACGCCCAAAAAAAGACGGCGGGCTGCGAATGTGCATCGACTACAGGGCGCTGAATCGACGAACAATCAAGTCCCGCTACCCAATCCCACGCGCGGACGATCTTCTCGATCAACTTCGCGGAGCTCGCTTCTTCTCGAAAATCGACTTACGCGGCGGTTACCATCAGATCCGAGTCTTCGCTGACGACTGCCACAAGACGGCGTTCCGAACCCGCTATGGCAGCTACAAGTACACAGTGATGCCGTTTGGCCTCATGAACGCGCCCTCCACTTTCCAACTCACCATGAACAGCGTATTCCGGGATCTACTCGACAAGTGTGTCATCGTCTATCTTGATGACATTCTGATCCACAGCAAGACACAGGAACAGCACCTCAAAGACCTTGAGCAAGTTTTCCGGCAGCTGCAAGAAAACCGGCTCATCACAAAGGGCTCCAAGTGCGAGTTCCTAAAATCCGAACTGGAATTTTTGGGACATGTCGTGCGAGCGGACGGCATAAAAATCGACCGGAAAAAAATCACAACGATTCGCGACTGGAAGCCGCGGACGAATTTACAGGAGCTGCAGAGTTTTCTCGGGTTCGTTAATTATGTCTGGAGGTTTATCCCCAATATGGCAGGGATAACCGGACCGTTAACTGACCTGCTGCGGAAGGGCACTTTGTTTGAATGGGGGGAGAAACAGCAGACTGCTTTCGATGAACTGCGAAATTTTCTGACGTCGCCCCCGGTCCTCCGAATCGCCGACCCATCTCGACCGTTCGAAGTCTTGACGGACGCTAGCGATTTCGCCATCGGTGCGATACTGTTACAGGATTTCGGCGACGGACTCCAACCCATCGCGTATGAGTCTAGGAAGTTGCAAGCAGCCGAGCGCAACTACCCCGTCCACGACAAAGAAATGCTCGCCATCGTGCACGCATTCAAGGTGTGGCGATGCTACCTGACGGGAGCCGACGTGACAGTACTGACAGACCATAAATCCCTACAATACCTCCGCGCGCAGCCGAATCTAATCCACGGCAGATTCGCTGGCTGGACTTCCTCGAAAGCAACTTCCACTACATGATCACGTACAAACGGGGAGCGAATAACATCGCTGACGCGCTGACAAGACCATCCGCCCACCTCGCCTCAATCATCGTCGCAAAATCCAACCCGCTGCTCACTGGCCTATTTACCCACGGCTATACCACATACCCCTTTTTCACCCGCAACCACCACCAACAAGCCACCACAGCCAAAGGACCCTACTTCCTAAAAGCCGGTACTGACCGTATCTGGGTTCCCGCCTACAGACTCCTACGCGAATTGCGTATTCAGGAGGTCCACGATTCTAACCTCTCCGGTCATTTTGGGGTTGATAAAACCCAGAAGTTACTTCACCGTTTTTATTATTGGCCTGAAGCGGCGTCTGATGTGCAGAGATACGTATCCGCGTGCCCGATCTGCCAACGAATGAAGTCTTCCCGACGGCGGCCAGCTGGACTGATGCAACCACTCGAGCCATCCCAGCGACCGTGGCAACATGTGACGATGGACTTCGTCACGGGGCTCCCGGCCGCCGCCACGGGCAACGACGCCGTCCTGGTCGTCGTCGATCGTCTGACGAAGATGGCGGACTTCGCACCCTGTCGCACAACAATCCCAGCCGAAGATACAGCGAAGCTTTTCATCTCCACCGTTGTTCGTCTGCACGGCCTACCCTCAGCGATCATCAGCGACCGCGACCCAAAATTCACGTCCAAGTTCTAGCAGGAGACATGGGGGCAGTACGGCACACGCCTCCACTTTTCCTCCGCCTACCATCCTCAAACCGACGGACAGACAAAGCGAACCAATCAAACCATGGAGCAGCTGATACGCACCAACTGCCCGGATCCTGCCCGGTGGGAAGAATTCCTGCCCATGCTGGAATTTTCGTACAACAATGCCCCATCCGCCACGACTACTCACTCGCCGTTTTTTCTAAACTACGGCATGGATCCGACAGTCCCGACGACTACCAACATCGACAACCCAGTGCCACGTTCCCAACAGTTCGTGAACAGTTTGCAGGAGGCCCGCGAAAAAGCGATCGAATTCATTCGCAAGTCCAACATAACCGCCCGACGCTATACAGATCTTCATCGCCGCAATATCACAATGGCTGTAGGGCAACTAGTCCTTCTCGACACGAAGAACCTTCGCCTGCCCCTGCCTTCAAAACTTCGCCCGCGATTCTGTGGACCTTTTCGTATTGTCAAGATGGTGACACCTGTCACAGCGAAATTATTACTTCCGGACGAGTGGCGCATTCACGACGCCTTCCACGTCAGCCTGCTTCGTCCCTACGTCGCCATCACGTCTGCAGTCGCACGCCCAGCGGCCACCCCAAGTGTCCGCCCGATGGCTAAACCGATCCTTGAGCCTTTCCGGCTTTTGAGTCATCGAGTCCGCCTCGACTCAACGGGTCGCCACGTGGATTTTCTTGTCCGCTGGGTTGACCGTACAAGCGAAGACGACATATGGGTCACTTCCGCCTCGCTTCAGGAACACTCGGTGCTCAAATCTTATTTGACCCGAAAAGGCGTTCCCGATGTTGATCACCTTCCTTAGGAGGGGGGGGTAGTGTAAGCAATTTTATTCCTTACCGGATTGTACTGCAATCGCGTACACCCGATCTCTCGGAAGACCAGGCTCGGTCCGTTTCCGACGCGACCTCGAGGCACGCCCGCGACGCCTCCGACCCTTTCGACCGCGCCAGTACCCAACCTAGCCCTCCGGGTTCGTTGCCTAGCTAGAGCACTCGCTATATAACGCTAGGCTATCTTTCTTGTACTCGTCATTATTATTCCGCGCACTCAGTTATTATTCATAACATGTAGGTTCTGCCAGTTTCCTGTGAGTTAGAATTTATGGGCCTGTAGATGGACACTGTAGATGTAAATGAATCAGCCATTTACTGGAGAAGTGTAATGCTAATGATGACTGACCCCTGGCGTGTGGGTTTGGTCGGTGCCCTGAGAGTGTAGGAAATCCACAATGCCAGCTCGGCATCGAGTGTTCTGTACACCTTTTCTAGTGTAAGGAAGGAGGGTTTTTCACGCGGCTCGGGCTGTTACCCAGAAATTTCGAAACACGGGCAAACAGGACATTAGCCCGGAAAATGCACAGTAACTCCCAGGCAAAATGTCGAGCGTTTCGGCCTGAATTTAGGTGTAAATGTGGTTCAGCTCGGTACCTGGCGTTTGGGACTGAGCATAGGGGGACACGAGCAGGCGAGACTTGCAATAGGGGCCGTAGGGGTGACAAGATTTGGCGGGAATTGCAATTTTGACTGTTCGTCTGAAGACCATAGCATGGAACAGGTATACATCTCTACTGGCTCCTCTTGCTGTTCGAGCCACCACGAGATCAAAATCTGGCGTGACTGTAGAGCAGCTGTTTGTGGACACCATCAACTCCACCCCCACCCGATGTTTCATCATCGGACACATTTCGGACGTTGTATTTTGGCCATCATGGTTCACACACTTTTGTTCCCGTTACTGTAGGAGGTATCACCGTCATCCCTGTCCAGTAGTACTTGCAGGTTACCTGCACAGGCTGCTTGTACTTACAGGAGGATGCGGCCGATTTTAGGACCAAACGCGACGAAAAGGCATCGACTGCCATCTCAACGTACCAGACCACTCTTTCTGGATAGTATTCAGTGCTGTGTTCGTTAGTACAAGTTATCGTAAGTCAGCCCCCCGTCCCCCGGGGACGATGGCCGCGCGTCGCGTCGGCTGTCACTCCCCCGCGTTCAGGTCTGGCAGCGAATGCGAAACAAAGCTCCGAGCTCAGCACCGTAGGCAAGGACACAAGGACAGTTTGAGCAGCGCGCCAAAGCAGTACGCCGCGCGACCGCCCGCCGGTTGCGCAGCGCACTGTGTACTACTATGCTGGGCGCCTGCATACTACGCGGCACAGAGTGCCGCGCAGCCAATCCTCCCCATCCTATGCGTTTCCCTCTATTTAACCACCGTCGCGCTCCTTTCCAAAAGCAGGATTTCCTCCCGTGATACTACAGTATTCCCCTTCCGAGCGCAGGTTATAGTAGCACGACTGTGGTGCTCGCGGCGTGGACGAGTAACACTATGGACCGACACCAGAGTGGAAACATTATACCGCTCCTAACCTCCCGCGCGATTAACTCCCTCTGGCACGACGTGCTTCTCTTTCCAGAGATCGCGGACAGCCAAGTCAGCAACGAAGATGGCGGCGGCGGCGGTGGCGGCGGCACGTGCACGTTCATCTGCACGGCCGGCAGCGACGCCGGCCGCGACGCGAGCGGCAACGGCCGGCAGTCGCTCTTCTCCCTCGTCACGCGCCGCCGGAAGCTGCTTCTCGACGGCCGTGTCGTGCCGCTCGAAGTCCCTCCGCCAAATGCGGCGATGGCGGCGGCGGCGGCCGAGACAGCTTCTGGAGTATCGGCTCCTCCCCCTCAATCTCCACGAACCCCTCAGACCCCGTTGACTCCGTTGACTCAGTTGACTCCCACTGGGAGTGGCAGAACGCCGAGCTTCCTTTTCAAGCCCAACAGCGTCGCTGGCGGCTCGAGTGACCCGGGGCCGTGCCCCGCATCGGCGTCGCCGCACTATGCGCCGCTAGTCTCCTGGAACTCGGGGATTCTGCCGCAGACGTGTCTCCTCGCTCCCTGCAGTGTTGACAACAGCCGCGCCGCTAGTACCGCTGTCTTCGCCGATGGTGACGGGAGCCTTATCGGGCCTACCACGGAGAGCACTAAGGATAGTTCCACGTTTTCGGCAGCACCGCGTGGCGCGACGTCCGCCGATCCTGGCGCTACTTCCAGCGGCGGCGACGGCGAGAGCGCCTCGTTCTTCGACTATGCGCCGGTGGAGGTGATCGAAATCGGGTCGCGGGTGCGGGAGCCGGGCGACGCGTTCGCGGTGCTGCCGCTCCTTGCCTTCCCCGTGCGACCCCACCGTTCAACAACGACGACGGCGACGGGCGACGGCCGTGGCGGCGTCGCACTCTCTCTTGAGGCTCCCTCTCTCGGCGACGCCGACGTGTCGCACAAGCTGCTCGTCATCGCCGCTGACGACCCGCTGATCATGAGCGAACTTGCACAATTCCCCGGCAGCGGGGGGTGCGGCGCCGGCGGCAACATTTTCCACTACGGCGGCTCGAACGCGCGTCCGGGATCGCCGAGCGGCGGGTTGGCGAGGCGCATAGCGGAGGTGATTCAGTGGGTTCACGAGGCGGGATTCACGGCCGTTCCCGGGCGATACGAGAACGGTGAGTACGTGGGCGAGAGCTGTTTCCCATGCCCAGTCAAGCACCCTTCACTCTTCACTACTCACTACTCACTATCCACAATCCACTATTCCAGGCATGTATATCCGCAGTCTTCCCCATGGCTGCAGCTAGTCATCTTTCAGCGTATCCCGCGCTTCCGTCCGAAGTGATCCCCTTCTTCTGAGAGTCTGAAATAGACCATCTGTCCGTTCTGTCTGCATCCGTCTGCTTCTGTCTGCATCCGTCTGCTTCTGTCTGCTATAATGCCTTCCTACGGTTCAGCGTTAAATTGTCAGCAATCCAGGCCTAGAGTGTCCTCTCATCCCTCCTCTCTTCTCGTTCCTGCTCCCACGCCCACCACCACCGCCAACCGCCAGGCCTCTTCCGCAGCGCGTCGCAGGCATGCTCATCCGTGCGATTCTCCCCTTCGTCCCCGCGGGAAGCCCAGGCCGTCATCCTGCACGCGCACGTGGCGTGGAAGCTCCTCTACTCCACGCTGCGCCGCCCAGTCAAGCTCGACCACAGCCGCACCATGGTGCGCCGCATGGCCCCGCCACCCCTGCTGCCCGGGGACGCGGAGAACTCCGCCAAGCGTCATGACGACTCGGAAGACGACGTCAGCACACCGTCACCTTGCGCTAGTACCGCTCGGAACGATACTATCTCCAGCACGCGCAGTTTACCTGGGAACGTCCAGGCGGCACCGGTGGGCCAGAACAAGCAGCAGCAGCAGCAGCAGCACCGGCGCATGGGTGGGTCGTCAAGCAAGCGCATGTACCGCCCCAGCTTCCTCGACCCGACAGCGCCGTCATCATCATCACCAGCAGTAGCGGCAGCAACCGCAGCAGCAGCTGCAGCAGCAACAGCAGCAGTAGTAGCAGTAGCGGCAGCAGCAGCAGCAGTAAAAGCGTCCCCCCACGAGCAGTGGGCAGGCCGCATCAAGGAATCGCTCGCCGAGCACCAGTGGCACCGCACTGCAGGCAACGGCTCCCAGCGCTCCCAGCATTCCAAGCACTCTATGTCTTCCCATCGTCCTGGGTCCTCCAGTGGCGCAACAGCTTTTGGTACCGCCCTCAACTCTGGCGACGGTGGTGGTGGCGGCGTCGGCGGACGGCGGCCCCATTCGGCTGGGGCTCTCAGCAGCGTGACGCACCTGCTGGCGAAGCCTGCCGTGTCGCCCGCCTCCGTCATCTTCACACCTGCGTTCAAGCCGCCGCCGCTGGGGCTGGAGGGGCTTTGTGAGGCGGTGCACGAGGAGCAGCAGCATCTGTCCCTGGCGGCGCTGCAACAGCAGAAACTCCTGCAGCGGCAGCTGCAACAGCAATACGCAGAGCGGCAGCAGCGGGCGGGTGGAAGGGGGGGAGATGCGAGACGAGGTGGAGTGCAACGGCTGCTAATACTGGAGAGCGACGACGAGATGGACGAAGATGATGAATTCAGCCTTGACGTCAGGACTCCGACTCTGGTGAGAGGAGGGCTAGGAGGAAGAGGAGGGGGAGGTGGAGGGGGAGATGGTGGTGATGGCGCCCCTGCAGGCACGAGGGAGTTGGGGAAGAAGGGGTCTGGATCTGGATATGGGAGATCTGCAGCCAACGAGCCGTCTCCCCGGTCGACCATTGCGCCATACTTCAAGTCCATATCCATTCCCTCTATAGGCAGTCCTGAGTCAAGCGATATTGAGTACAGCGAGGGAGGGAGGCAGTTCAAGGGGGGCGATTTCGGTGACCGTTCCTCGGACCAGGGGAGCGTGAACAGTGCCAGCAACAGTGATGAGGACGGCGATAACGAGGAGGATAATATCGAGGATGAAGATGATGACGATGATAATGATAATGTTGACGAGAATGGTGATGGCGTCAGCACAACAGTCACCTTTTCTGGCGGTCACTGGCGGATGGCAGCGGCTACGACGCGGTTAGTACGGTCGACGTCACTGAGGAGCTGCCCCGGAGACAGAGCAAAGAGGAGCGAATCTTGGGGCATTCATTGGAAGCTTGGTCTTGGCATAAGGGTCAGCAGCAACGACGACCTGAAAGGAGCAGGAGCAGGGGCAGGCGCAGGAACAGGGGCACCGGCGGCTGTAGGCTCTAAACCCGCCATGTTGAAGTGGCTGCGTGAAGGGCCCAAGCCCGATGCAGCGGCAGCGTCGGAGCAAGAGGAGGGAGGGGGGCTGGGGCTGCTTTTAGGACGAGCCCACTCAACAGGTAAAGAGGCAGCAGCGGAGCTCGTTGCTGCTGCGATTCGGGTGCTGCGCAAAGCAGGGAGTGAGGGGAGTGGAGGAGGAAGGGGGACGGCGGGACGGCCTCCGCCCAGTCCTACGACGCCGTCTGGCAGCAAGGAGGGGTGGGATGCTGGTTCTGCAGCTGGTTCCGGTGCTGGTTCGGCTACCACTTCGCCTGCTTCTGCTGCCGGCGATGGGTCCAGAGCATCGGGGAATGGCAGCGACGGTGGAAAGCGCTCGTTCTCTGGACCGTTGGGGATTAGCCTCGGGGGGGCGAGCTCAAGGGGTATCTTGAAGGGCTTGAAGAACGACAGGGGCAACGGGAAGGAGGTGGTTGTGCGGAAGTCCAAGAAAGGGGAAGGGGGGAAGGGGGATGTGCAGGAGCAAGAATCGGACGTCGATTACTCACCAGATTCTCTGGCCAGTCGACAGTTGACGTTTCCTGAGGGAATGAGCTCCGCTTCTGAAAACCCGGGAGCCGGGAAAGGCGGTTTAGGAGGTGGGTTAGGAGGAGAGAACCGGTTGAGGCGCATGGCTGCTCTACCTCTGCTTCCTGGTGCCAGGCCTTTAGCCCACGACGAGGCGACGATGCGGCGGCTCACTGGCTGGAAGGGGTCGAAGAGCGCCAACTGCTCGTTGAAAGCTGGGCGCAAGGAGGGCGATGGGGAGAGCAGCAGGGCGACAGGACTGACGAGAACGCAGGTGGGATTTTCGCCTGCTGAATTGGGCTCAGCGACTCCGATCGTGTTGCCGTGGGAGGTGATGGATAGTACAAAAGGAGGAGCCTTGAGCAAAGGATCCCTGACTAGCGATCGCCATTTGATGAAAAGTCCAAGCTATGGCGGCGATAATGCCGGTGCTGGGGAGAGCCAGCAGGTTGGTCAGGCAGGGCGTGTGGAGAGATACCGAGACGAAGACGTGGGTGGTTTTATTGGGGAATGCCGAAACAAGCAGTCGTAGTGACAGCACACCACGTTTAGTCCTGTTGGAAATATCTCAAAGGACTTAAGCGTTTCTGAAGTGTAACACTACACTCGAGGAAGCTCGCAACGAGTACGCGAGTCAACGGAGTTAACACGAGGGGACGGACAAAGAACGCGAAGGGATTCGAAGGGTTGGAACTGGAGGTTGCGACTGACCGTTACAACAGCGCGGATGGTAACCGAAGCGACAATCGAGTCGCTGTGCGACTTGATAACCGCTCCTGCAACTGTATTCTACAACTGCTTTTTTTTTAATATATATATTGCTGTATGCTTGTTTCTTTAATCAATCACTTGTTCTCATATACCAGTACAAGGATTCAACTACTCAACTTCCGCTGCACTACTCAAAGTCTCATTCTTCAACTGGGAATTAGTCTCTGGAAAGATCCTAAGGGCTTTTCTTAGCCCAACATGGTATGAGAGCTGGTCAGAGACCAAACTCCCAGCAACTACGCTTTATCTACAATCTGCAATTCAAAACGACTTCATTGATTACAAGTCATGGACAGCAAGGGCAAGAAAATCTCTACGGGCTCACCCAGCGCCCAAGACACTCAACCCGGCAACTCTGGATTGCACATTTCAGGACTGCAAACCGAGACCGGCGCTGCTCAAGAAACAACAGGAAGAGCACCGGAAATGGTGACTCCATCACCCTCTTCAAGCGTGGATCCGAACCTTATGGAAAGGTTCTTCAGCTTCATGTCACACTTCGACCAGCAGCAGCAGACAAGGACACCTGTGTTGAGTGACCCGCTGGGGTTGCCCTTGAGATCCTCGGGGAAGGGCCACAGGTGCAGAGCCTGGGGGGCTATGGGCGCACTTACCCGCTATTAAACAAGCCCTTTTAACCTAGTGGTTAGTGGCTGGGTTTCTGACATGGTATCAGAGCCAAAGGTCTTGGGTTCAACTCCCAGTGCCAGCGCTGCAGAGGCGCTCGTGTCTTCCACCTATCCCAGCGGGGGGGGGGGTGTTGAGTGACCCGCTGGAGTTGCCCTTGAGATCCTCGGGGAAGGGCCACAGGTGCAGAGCCTGGGGGGCTATGGGCGCACTTACCCGCTATTTAACAAACCCTCTTAACCCAGTGGTTAGTGGCTGGGTTTCTGACAACCTGCGCATTCAACACAGAGCAACGGAGGAAACATGGGATTAGCGCCGATGAGCCTCGACAATTCATCGTTCGGGCGACACAATCAAGCGCCTACCTTTGCGCCTTATCACTCTTCACCGGGGACATTCGAGTTTATGCCGCCCCGTGCCCAACCAACAGCAGCTGCATCACAACAGACACCAAACGAGATTTTGAGTCTCCAGGCGCAGTTCTCACACGTAATCAAGTTACAGACATCCTCACCGTTCAACGGACACGACTTCTTTACCTGGAGCTTTGAGTTCGAGCTGCTGATGGAGGCTGCGCATCTCTTGGGATACTTCAACGGGTCCCTGCCATTCCCAAGCAACGGCACTGGAAAGGAGCAAGAAATTTTTACGTATCAATCGCTGTTGGCGTATACAGTTCTCTTGCGGAACCTGTCACCACAAGAACAGCAGAGCATCAGAACATATCGGAGCTATGGAAACTCCGCGGAACTCGCATGGCATCATCTCAAGTGTCTCTATCAAGCAAACGACAGCGTGACACAAAGCAGACTCATGCAACAGTTGACAACAATACAGATGAAGACCGGGGAAAAGGCGATGCAGTATATGAGTCGATGCCAGACCCTCCGCGACCACTTGCTTCGGTGCGGAGGAACAATCACTGAAGAAAGCTTCGTGACACTTGTCCTCGCCGAGCTCGGGCCAGAATGGAGAACCACACGCTCGCTTCTTCGCGCCCACGGAAGGATCTCGGAGATGCACCTCTGCGCCGAGCTTCACGCTGAACAACAGGAGATGGACCTGTTCGAAGAAAGACAACCAAGGAAGCAGCAGCAGTTAGTTTTCTACACTCAACGAAGGAACGACAACAACTACAATCGACGCGGCAAGCAAGATCAACGCAACAACAGAGGACTCACCATCGTGCTGCCGTTCTGCCACAACTGTCAAACATCCGGACATTCCAAAGTCAACTGCACACGTCCTCGTGTCTATCGTCCAGTAGACCCACAAGTCGCCTCCACTCAAGAAAGCCCTCCAAGACGTTCTTCCACATCTGCACAAGGGACACCGAACATCATCAACTGCATCGTACACATCGACAACTGCGCACCCGGATCACCACCCACTTACGCGCCAGACGAAGAAGAATTCCCGCCGCCGCGCTCACAAGGACTTCAGGTTAACCCGACATACGCTGCGGTCGCCAACGCCGAACCCACCGGGCGAAACACCTGGTTCTTGGACAGCTGCTGCGGTCAACACATGTGTTCTTCCGGACGCTTCGTGCAACGAGAGCGACGCCTCAACCGCGACGTCATCATCACCGTCGCCAACAACGAGAACCTGAAAACAAACAGACAAGGGGTGGTTCAGTTACAGTCCATGGAAACAAATGTCATCCTTCAACTCAACAAGGTCTTAATCGTTGACAACTTGGGATACAACTTACTCAGCGTCAGCCAGCTAATGGCAAAAGGGATTCACCTGGAGTGCGACTCGGACTCCAACGAGTTTCGCCTTTACCACGGGAAGGGCGGCCTCTTCATCGGTCGTGCTCTCCTGAAGTCCGGCGTCTTCGTGTTGGACTTCGTCCCCGACCGCGGTACTGCCGACAGCGATGGGATTGTGTCGTTCGCCGCCTGGACAGACCCGCCGGATCTTGATCACGACTTCAACCCCGATGGATTCTGGTACTCCAACACCATACCTGCAGCAGAGAGAACACGAGCATTAGCAGTCATCAGACAAGAAAGACAAGTACCAGCAAGTGTCCCTTCCCAACCATCACCTGCAGTAGCAACAGCAGGACCCAGCCGAGTACCACCACCAGCGATCCGAGGACCGCCAACCGAAGCAGATCAACTTATGCCCATCACACGAGAAAGTCTGCCGAAGTCCCGCCACGGTCGTCGCGTTCTTCTCCAACACCGACACGTACCAACGCTCGCCCGGCCATCGAGCTTCCGACGACATCTGGCACCAACGCCTTGGACATCCTGCAAACAGCACCGTACTACAAACAATCCAAGCCGAAGTATTAGAACGAAACGCTCTCCTTACAACGAGCGGCCAAGAACTTCGACGACCACGCGCACGGTGCTTTACGTGCCCCGAAGCCGATCTTCCCCACCAGCCTTTTCCATCCCATCACAACCCAAGCGCACCTGCATACGCACCGATGGAAAAAGTCTACAGTGACATTTTAAACATGCCTCGACAAGACACTGAAGCCGACTTCAACTATGTCATCACGTTTATCAACGCAGCAACAAGAAACGTCTGGCACTACAACCCCAAGACGCGCGATCAAGCCTTCGACGCCTTCATGACATGGCTTCCCATCGCCGAAGGAGAATCAGGAACCAAGCTCAAGAGCTTCCAATCAGACGGTGCACTGGAATACCAGTCACAACGCTTCAGGACCTATCTGGTGGAAAGAGGAATCAGACGCCTGGTGTCTCTGCCCTACGCTCACCAGCAGCAGGGGGTCGCAGAACGCATGAACCGGACCTTGCAGACGACGATGCGAAAGATACTCTTGGGAATGAGACTGCCCACCACACTGTGGCCAGACGCGATGACACATGCAGTCCACCTGCACAATCTGTTGTCCTCGTCATCGCTCCCCAACAACGCATCACCGCACCTGCTGTGGACACGAAAAAGGGGCAGCACAAAATTACTTCGAGTTTTCGGCTGCATGGTACAGTACAGACCACACACAGCCCGAGCAGGACGCTTCACTCAACGAGCTCGGTGGGGACTACATCTCGGCATCGCCAAACATTTTCACGCATGGAAAATCCTCAACATACAAGACAAAAATACCGTGGCATCACGTGATGTTATCTTCTACGAGCGACTGACGCTGCAGCATTACCTGGACAACATTGCCAACACACACGACCCCACCGACGGCCTCGCGGGCCTTCGTTCCTTCGCCGACCGTGCTGCCGAGGCTGACACAGCAGAAGAAGACGTACCTGGAGCCTCGGAAGCTGCCGGACCACTCCCTTTCTGTTCCGTACCTGTTCCACTCGACACCTTTTACCACTTCGCTGACCAAGGTTACGTTACACCCCACCCGGTCGACACGAATGTTTCAGAACGCATCGGTCCAAACTTCTTACCTGATCCAGAAGATGGTGACAAAGCAGCTTATTCCGGGAATGAAAATTCCCCTCGACACACACCCACGGGACTGCAGATACTCGGCCTATGGGTCTCCGTCCAGCATCCGCCGCCGCCATCTCCGCGCGAGCCCTCGACTTTGTCGCAGGCTCTAGGGGGGGAACATAAGGCGAAATGGAAGGAGGCGATGGAAATGAAACTAAAAGCTCTGCAAGACCGAAACACATGGAAGTTGGTACCTGCAACGAACATCAACGGGAAGAACGTCCTCTCGGGAAAGTGGGTGTACCGCATCAAGACCAACGCGGACGGCTCCATCGAACGATTCAAAGCTCGATGGGTCGTACGAGGCTTCGATCAACGATACGGAACCGACTACACAGAAACTTTTGCCCCAGTCTCCCGTCACACCTCCTTGCGCATCCTACTCGCCGTCGCGGCCACGAAGAAACTACCACTGCGCCAAATCGACGTCGCAAATGCTTTCCTGTACGCACCTGTGGACGCCGAGATCTTCGTCGAGCAGCCCCACGGATTCATCGACGACCCTACAAAAGTGTGCCAGCTGATAAAATCCCTTTACGGGATCAAACAAGCCCCGCGGCTCTGGCAGCAGCATCTTCACGGTCGCCTCGTAAAAATCGGATTCCTACAGCTGCCGCATGACCAAGGCATGTACCGACTCCAGAAGGGAAAAGAGTATATCCTACTCATCGTTTACGTCAACGACCTGCTCTACATCGGTTCCACCACCGACATCGCCACCTGGTTCGAAGGGGAGCTGAAAGGGGACTTGACACTCACAGTGTCCGACTCAGTAACCCAGTACCTGGGACTAAGTGTCGTCGAAGACAACTCGGCGTTCTACCTACACGCTGGAAAATACGCAGGCACTGTCGCGAAGAAATTCGGTCTAACGCCGACTACGGTCCCGACTCCCTGCCGCTACGGGAACAACAGCAACACCTCAGCAAAACTCCCCGCGAAGCAAATCCAGGAGTATCAGCAGAAGCTCGGCTGCCTACTATTCGCAGCAGTAACCTGCCGACCC